AGCTGTTATCAGTCCATCGGCATTTGAGTCAGATAACAGTACTGAGAGCACCCAAGGTTGCGCGGGAAGATTCATCTTCGTGAGAATAGGAGAGATATAAGTGCCTCTAACTTGAGTCCAGTGGGGACAGCGAAATATCAGGTGATCTAAGGTTTCAATTTCGCCAGAATTGCACAGACAAAGGCGATCTGAGTAAGAAAGGCCTCCAAATCTTCCCAGAGTTACCATTGTTGGAAATACATTTAAGCGGGCCAGCATAAAGGCGCGGCGGTGAGATGGAATTGATAACGTTGAATAAAAGTCAGGAAATCTCTCTGGAGGGGACAACCCCAAAGCCAACGGAGAGCAGGTGCGTCTTGCCCTGGCCACGGTGCTGGCCCAATCCAACTGTTTAAGTTTCTTCAAGGTTTCCTCAAGCTGAGAGGGCATCAGCTCTTCGTTAGGTGAGGACATCGGCACTCCCAATGTCCTGAGTTTACCAGCAAGAAGGGACAACCAAGGGTTGGATGTCGTGTCCTTTAAGATGGAACGAAGAAAGCCGGCCTGGGGGTGATGACTTGGGTCAGATAACTTAAATCTCAACTTGAATGCCCTCTTCCAAGCACGTGCTTCAAGCGAAGATTGAACCAGTTCCATACGAAGGACAGTCCCAGCAACACACCGTGGCGTTCCAGTAATTCTCCTAAGGAAGGAGTTTAGCTGGGAATCCAATTTCTCATCAGCAACGAAAAGTCTCCCTCTGATTCTTCAGAGTCAGTAGTTTCCTTCATTAATAGTTTAAGAGGTGAATTTTTAGCCCCTTTTTTGCCTCGGATTCTCCCCTTGGCTGGCATTGTTAGTTTTTGTTAAGTTACCTTGTTTTTAGAAGAGTAAGCGTTGTTTTCCGTTGGGGGTCGCAGGAGAGCGAAAGAGCTGCAGCCGACCGGAAGGCGGGCCATAACTTTTTAAAGAGACCCTAAGGACAGCTGGGGGAGCCAGAATGACCTCTCGCGCGAGAGGTGGAATTTGCCCCTACGAGTCCAAGGCCACCACCCTGGGGCTCAGGGAGGCGGGGGAATGTTCCCCCCCATGTCCCAACTGATAGCTGGTGGGAGCAGGGGGCGGGGCTTATGTGCCCGCCCCCTGGGCTCCTGACTGGCGGAGTGGTGCTCTGGTGCGCTCCGGCAGGAACCGAGGCCTGGTTCTAATTACCTATTTTAATTCTAATTCATATTAGTGATTATGAATGCAGAATGACTGCAAATGAAGGAAAACCCCATGTTCAAAAAGGAAGGTAGCAATGCAGATCATAGCCCGTGCACGTGCACACACACCCCATTCCAAGTACAACATTTCAGGGAATAGAGGTTGTGGTAAGTTTGGGCAAACAGAAGACAGAACCGCTGAGTTCTCGAAAACTGGCCAGGGCATGTAGCCCATCAATACATGTGCAGTTACCAGTGGGGCTATTTCTGGTTGGTAAAATGGTGCAGGGGAAAGAGGGAAGCCCCCTTTCCCAGTTCTGTAGTCCTAATTCAAATCAGGGCCCTGCATTCTTGGGAAACGCATTCCCTCATCTTAAAAATCATAACATGTAGGAGGATGCTAAGACTTTAAGGGAACCCCCAATGGAGTCAATTGGCAGTAAACTCAGGACAAAGAATTTCTTCATTCAACTCATAATTCACTTAAGGAATTAACTGCCATAAAATGTGACAGATCCTCACTTAGCTTTGAAAGAGGTTTAGAGAAGTTCATATAGGATAGTTCTTTGCATGTCTACTACCCATGATAACTAAATGAAATCTCTCAGTTGCCCTGTTTATCCATTTTCTGGAAGGATCTGACTGGCCACTATAATCCACATGGCTCTATTTATGTTCTCAGTCTCTAGGAAAGGAGAGTATGGTGGTTCCCAAGGGGGGAAGGGGGCATCAAACTACTGTGGATCTATAATAACAGGGTCGTAGATGCAAGGTGAGGCTCAAATCTTCTATTTCACATCCATACAAGTCATGCTCTCAGAAACTACACTGGGACCCCTCAGGGGATTCAGACAGCCAAGGCTGAAAGGATATGATTTAGACCTTTGAACAGCAAAGTGGTCCACATCTGGTTTCCTTATTTCCTTCTCATTCTCCAGCCCACTGTGCCCACCCTAAGTCCTTTACCTTCCCCGGAGTGCTGCACTAGGATCCATCCAAGGCCACCACTAGGTATTAGAGAGAACTTGCGGTGACTCAGTGTCTCCTGTGGAATGAGAGATGTAGGGGTTGCCATGGAGCTGGTAATGGGATACAGAAAGGGTCACGCTGGCACCAGGCCACCACACACACCCTCCAAAAGATTCTGCCAAGAAACAAGGTACCAGAAGTGGATCAGAGGTGGCCTAAAAAATAATAGAACAAAGTTTGAGTGCAGTGGCACCTTTAAGACCAACAAAGTTTTATTCAAGGTATGAGCTTTCATGTGCATGCACACTTCTTCAGGTACAATAAAATGTATTTCACTGTATCTGAAGAAGTGTGCATGCACCTTGAATAAAACTTTGTTGGTTTTAAAGATGCCAATGGACCCAAACGTTGTTCTACTGCTTCAGACCAACACAGCTACCCACCTGGATCTAAAAAATAGTGTATTGGATCTCCCAGTCTAAGGTGTAGGACTTCTTCAGCATTCCAACTAACTCAATCTCATCCACTAAAATAGTATTTTATGTGATAACTTTTCCCCCAGTAATAATTGTTTTATTTATGTGATTGAATCTTTCATTTGTTTCTTAAAAAACCTAAGCCAGTTACTTCCACAGAAGTTTTTCCTTAGGGAGCAAATGTGTGGAGGTGGGGAAAGCCTAGATTTCTTCCATCTCTTCTTCTCCTACATATTGAAACTCACAGGCATTCAGCTTGTGTTAGCAATTGTTCCCTTTCTCTGGATCTCTCACCCCAACAAAGAAGATGACTACTTTTAATTTCTGCATACTTATGATATAGAAATCAGTGGGAGAGGAAAAATAAAGCAGAGGATAACTCTGAGATTTCTCATATTTGAGTTGATCCTGTTTGTTAAAAATATGCTGTTAACATAAAAAGCACAAGTCACTTAACCTGTAAACCCGACAGGGCATTTAGTGATACTGCTCACCAAAAAACCAAAGGGGAAATGCCATCCTTTTATCATTTAAACTCCCTGCTCCAGATGTAAACAAAAGAATGCCTCATGAATAAAGCTTATTTGGAACATATGGATCATAGATTCACCTTTACAGTATACTTATTATATGGCCTCGAACTTCAGAGGACGGCGGAAGACAGGAGGGCCTGGTGTGATCTGGTCCATGGGGTCGCAAAGAGTCGTACTTGACTGTGCGACTGAACAACAACAACAAAAGCCATTCACTCTTATTCCTATTCATTCTCTGCAACATGGGAATAATAAATCTGTGCACACTTACTTGGGCACAGGTCCCGCTAAACATAAAGGCACCTACTTCTGACTAGACACAGATAACATCTGGCAGCACACATGATCTACCTCAGAACACTGTTATGTGAATGAACCCAACAAAGCCTATAAAGTGCTTTTCAAACCAAACCTGCAATTTGAATTGTCATTTCAATTGTTGCCTTATTACACACGAGGCAAGGGCCAACACTTCAAATACCCAAATATAGCAGAAACTTTTAGTTACTTAGTTGGATTAACAAAACTCTGTTGACTGAGTAAACCATCTGATTTTTTTTAATTTATTTTTTAAAAATAAATGAGAAGTGCAAATAGGAACCACCATCATCAAAAGGCATACCTCTTAACACATCAGGGGAATGCTTAAGCCTGCTGTGTATTGTTTTATTCTTATGCAAATGATGCAGATTTAATAACTGTATTACACTTAATCAGCCAAGATCTCTTTAACTGTCTGACAGCCCTATTCTTTTGGATAAAAATGTTTTAAAGAAACCTGAGTTCTATAACTTCTGTTACCTAATGCATCACCTTACAATTAATCTCGTTTTGTTACTGTAAATTATTGCACTTGTGTTCTTTTGTTTTACAGAGGATGTGTGCGTTTGGTTTAGCTCTAGAGGAACGACTGATTAACTGCTAGCATTTAAACTGTCAAAAACAAAAGTCTTTCTTAAGTACTTCGCTGCAGTAGTCTTTGGTGCCTCTTCTATCAGGTTTGCACCAGGCAGCAGGGAACCCAACCGGTTTTCCACGAACAGATCCCGTACTCCAGACTAAACAACGCAGGCCCAGGAAATTATCGTTCGTCTTCTCCCTCCCCATTTTAAGACAAGGTCAAATATCACAGTGATACAATTGGCCACGTTAAGTGCGGAAAATAACCAGAAAGCTAATGTGACTCCTCGACCTCTCGGTTCGGTTTATTCGTGTAGCCAACGGAGCTGTTTATGTTTAAACTATATTCAGGATATTTGCGGAGTGGTTTGCCTGGGAGCCGCCTCTCATCTCCCAGCACGGCACCACACACGCCTCAGACCGCTCTCCCGAAAGGGCGGCCGTGACGCTCCCACTCCTCCCCCGCTGTGTTCTTCCTGTTCTCGGAAAACGCAGCACAACCCCTCCCCCCTCCCCTCAGGAATTGTCTCTCCAGTTGTTTATCCCCTTCGCGCCCCTGAGGCCTGCCCAAAGTCAACGGAGCCAGTGTGGATACAGCCTTCCGATTGGTTGCGCCCGGGAGAGTCGTTTCAATTCGAACAGCCAATGAGGAGAGGGAAGCGTTTGTTCCCTCGCTCTATGGGCCTGCGCCTGTCCCGTGACTGTTTCTCGTCGCTGGGCAGGGAGAATGCCGTGCAGGGGGCGCTTGGATGGGCGCGCGGGGGTTGTTGACATTTTGTCCTGCGTCCTAAAACGCGTAAACAAGGGCACTGAGCTGGCTCGTTGGCAGACTGGGGGACACGCCCAGACCTCCAGCGAGCGAGCCTCCTCTCCTCCTCCTCCTCCTGAGGTATCCATCCCCGCCCCTTCACCAGGGACCCACACGATACCTTGAGGAGGGGAGGGGACCATGAAGTCCAGGGGAGGTTTCCCTCACTCACCGACAGTAAGCCCGAGGGGGGCGTGGTTCAGTCCGTGACCCCGCCCTGGAGGGTGGTCTGGAGTTGGTAAATAGGGGCTGCACGTGCAGGGCTCCGGCCAGACGGTTCGAATCGGCTCGAGGGAGAAAGTTGCGCGCAATCCTAGTTTTGTACCTCCAGTGGCGCCCGCCTGATTTTCCGTAATCTTCGCAAATAGCAGCGCAGGCATGAAGGCCGCACGGATCGCCTTGCGGAGCGCGGCTCCTTTGGCTGCCACGACCACAGGCGGCGGAGGAGGTCGAGCGACTTGGGAGGTGGAGCATTTTGCTCGGTACTCTCCGTCGCCGCTTTCCATTAAGCAGTTCCTCGATTTTGGTGAGAGCGAAGTGTGAGATTTATTTTTAATCCTTAATTATTGTTATGTTTCCTTTGCTTTCCACCACTTATGCCTGCCGCTCGCTTTTTCCTGTGCCCCTGGAGTAGTTTATGCCTGGTCTGGACATGTGGCGGAATTGAGGGGGTAAAATGGGAATGTACCAATTCCACTTGTAGATGGGGAGAGTCATATGATAATGGTAAAAAAACCCAACACCCCCCACAGACCTCTCCATGCAGGTAAAAAAATAGCGCATCATAATGAGCTACTGCACCCCAGTTCTCCGTAAGACTTGGATTTGCATGGAATAACTTATGTTTTAGGGAAACTTTTAGCAATGCTTCCTCTTCCCTTGCAGCCTGAAATGGTGCAGTTGGTTCCACCACCTCATTGTGCTGTATGTGCAGATCAGACTTCTATTTCCAACTGTTAAAATCTCTCGCAAATGATGCAGTAGAAGATCCCAGTGACATGTGGGTTGAGGGCTGCGGTTATTCTAGGAACGGCTGGCAGCGTCCTCAGACTGGGCTCCGGGAGGGAAAGGGAGGGGGCTTGAGTGAGGGGTGCTTGTTCCAAACTAATGGGGAAGATGGAAAAATAATGCTTTGATTGGGTATAGCTCCTAACAGGGTTTCTTCCAGTATATATTTTTGTGGTTGGGACACTGATAATTCGGGGGGGATAGGATAGTTTTGAGTAAGGGACAGAGATGCAGTCCCTAGATTAAATATTTCTGTAGCTTTTTACCTGAAAAATGATTCCCAATGGTGAAATCATAGGGCAGTCATGAGGGGAAGGGGGACCTGTCCACTTCCCTTTTTTTTTTGCTGTGGCCTTAGCAATGGTAGTTGGAAATAGGGGGGAATCTCACTTGAGCTGGACCCAGGCACCATGGGAGAGTAGCTGATTTCTTGCTCTTTTTGCTCTGACCCAATTTGTCACTCAGCATCCATCCTTTATATGCCCTGGTACCTGTAACTAAAACGTTTTCCAGACTTCCCATGTCTCATCTCTTTCTAGCAGATGGAGAAGTTGTAAGTAAAAGAAATGATCAAGTGTTTTATAGTGCACTGCTGTGTCTTTATCTAGAGATGTGAGTCACAAGGATTTATCTAGAGGTGTGATTCACAAGGATTAAAAAGCAAAAAAGTTTGCACCAGTTGCATGAGCATATTTTAGATAAGGCTTTTTGATCCCCCCCTTCCAAATGTTTTCAACTTCAAACTTTTATTGTGGTTTTCAGGGTAGAAACAATTCCTTGTCTTTTTGTAACAGTTTTCATAGTGCATAAACTTGCTCTGTGCACAGAAACAAGAGGTTAATGGCAACTGTGACCCATTAAGCACAGAGAATTTTCCACCACTGGAGCTATTCCAATATGGTTTTGTTATGCAACAATCTCTACAAGAAAGAATGTAGAAAAACTAGAGGAGACAATTTAGTTAATTTGAGCAGTTGCAATTGAACAGTCAACTGAAATAAGGGTAAAATTAACCTGGATTTTTTTCATAGCACACTTTTTTCCAATGCAGTGTAGCTGTTGTTAAGTTGTTATGCAGTAAAGTGTGAAGCATTTGGAGACAAAGATGTCTGGACTTCTTTCCTATCTTTGTTACTTTTTATTTTTAAAAACCTCTCCAAGGAAGCAGTGTAACTTGAAAAAGAAATTCTTTAGTGACAGAATCTTTCTAGGAATCCTTAGAATCACTCTTATCCCATTGGCTGTGGTTGCTTGCCATATTCTCATATTACAGTAGACAGGGAAAATTCTAAAGTATTTCAGATCCCAAAATATAAGACCATCTGTTTATCTCGTTATGGTAACTTGCCAATTAATTTTCAACACTACTGTTTGTATCATTTCATCCCTACCATTAGTAATATTCATGGGTAGTATTTTATTATTGCCCCCATTATGTTGTAATCATAGAGTGAGTCTTCGTATTGTAGCCTTTAGCCTTTGAGGCATCAGTGTCAATCCTTGTTAGTAAAGGTCTACTGCTAATTTAGTACAAGTTTTCAGTTGGTAGAATGTTTTCCCCCTATGTCATAAGAGTTTCAGACATCCAGCAGCTAATTGTCATAAGAGTTTCAGACACATCAGCATCTAACATGGTCAATTTGCTGCGAATAGAATAACTTAGGGCACTCCAACAAAACCTGAAAGTGCAGTGGCTTCAAGTTATTTTAAGTTGGCAATATATGCTGTTAGTGGTAGCAAGTCTGTGTGATGTGAGCACTTGGGAACAGCTGGTTTTTGTTTGTAAGTATCTGTTTTCTGAACAGGCCTGTCATTTTAACTTGTAAAGAAGCCAGAACTATTTTAAGCTACATATTCTTAATGCCAATTATAAAACTTAAAGTATACCACACACAGTTTAGGAAAATCTAAAAGCAATTGGGGTTCTTTTTTTTAACATCTTTTAAAAAAGGAAATGTGTATTGCAGTTTGGACCGTCTGCTAAAACAAATCTTAGATGGGGCATACATTTCACTGTTCTTGAATGAGCTGTCCCTTTAACTACAACTTTCAGATTTTTTTTTACTGCTGGTACTGTGATAACTTACACTAGAGTTCTTTTCTGTAAGACCTTATCTACAATGCAGTAGTATGCTGCAAGGGAAGTGCAAGCTTTAAAAAGCATGATAGGTAGACTTGAGGACTTCTGTGATTATTTTGTATGGGTTACTGCAGTTGTGCAAGATTTTTTTTCCTTTTTAATAATGACTAGTCTTTTGTGCTAATATCTGAGTTACTTGTAGGGTATAATGGTGGTATATCAAGTTTTATTAAATCTAATACTAACATACCTATGTTGGAAACATCTTAAAGGTGACTACTTTGTTTCATAGGGTCAACTAATGCATGTGAAAGAACCTCTTTTTCCTTCTTGCGGCATGAACTTCCTGTGCGGCTGGCAAATATTCTGAAAGAAATTGACCTCCTCCCTAGTCCATTGCTGAGCACTTCTTCAGTACAGCTGGTAAAAAGCTGGTAAGTTACAAACCTTTTGCACCAGGGTTTGTTTTTTAAAGAGACGAGGGCATCAGTTATATTTTAAACTTCAAGGAAAGCAAACTTTATAATACAATGGGAGTATGACCTTGAACGTAACACACGTTGATCAGATTGTGTGAAGAGGTTGTACTAGATGACGCCATTAAGTGCGTCAAGGTAAAGAAACCCAAATTGTAATCCCCTTTGTACACATATTGAGATGCATTGTACTGTCCATTTGACGTATGTAATGCTATCACCCAAATGAAACCACACATCCTATACCCAACTTTCTCAGAAAAGCAGTTACAAAAGTAAATCTAGCCTGCATTCAGTCTTGCCACCCAAAATCCAAGGTGTATCAGTGCTTATAACTTCAATGCTTGCAGCAAGGAATTTGAAATATTTTCCTAACGTAACATGCACCAGTAGTCTGTTTGCTCAGTTATTTACTGTTTGAGCTTGTGTTGTTAAAATGTAGAGCCTTATTGAGGAACCTTATCTGTGCAAGAAGCTTTTCTTGCCGTATACTGATAACCTGCTTTATATTTGTACTCTCAATAGGTATGTCCAAAGTCTGATGGAGCTAGTTGAGTTCCGTGAGAAAAAACCAGATAACCACAAAGTTCTATCTGAGTAAGTTGCTCTGTGTTGTATACTCTCAGTATCTTGCTCTGTTCAAATTATCTGCCATCTGTTGTTAAGTCACTTCAACTTTATTCAGTTCTGGACACAGATACTGTTGATTTACGTAGTAATGAGATAGCTTACAAGTATAACTGTAACTGACACCTGATGTTCGGAAATGTGACACATTGAAATAAAACAAGTTGACAATAAATTACAAACTGTCAACCCAACATTAGAATGCTTAATTTTCCTTGACAGAATGAATATTGAGGGGAAGTAAGCAATTTCTGCCCCTCAGTGTTACAGTAGCTCTGTTGAAGTTTTTTGTAGAAGGAGGAGTGTAGGAATTCTGGTTTGTATCCTGTTTTTGCTTCTGTTTAAAGTTAAATGATTATATCTATATAATTGTAAGTTAATTTTGCCATTTTTGGTTTTCTGGCTTCTTTATGTAGGCACATCTGAAGTTATTCTGTCCTTTAAGTTTTATAGATGCTATTGTCAAAGTCCGGAATCGACACCATGATGTTGTACCTACAATGGCACAAGGTGTTCTAGAATACAGAGACTCTTCTAAAATGGACCCATTCACCAATCAAAACATCCAGTACTTCTTGGATCGGTTTTACATGAACCGTATATCTATCCGGATGTTAATAAACCAGCACAGTAAGTTGAGATGTCACACTAATATATATAGCATTAATAAAATAATATGTCATATCAATTCCTGACATCTGTAATTTAAAGGATTAGGTAATAGGTGATGTGAAAGACCTCTTCCTAAGACTCTGGAGGGCCACTGGCAGTTTGAGTAGATAGTACTAAGCATGATGGACCAAAGGTCTAATTTTGTATAAGGCAACCTTGGTATGCTGTAGTAGATACTATAAGGAGTCCAGAGTTGAAATTCCAATTCTGGTTCTGTACAACACTTTATATTAGTGTAATCTACCTCACAGGGTGGTTGTGAAAAATAAAATCAGATGTATGCCCAACCTGGGTGTCTTGGAATAAGGAACATACAGAAATGAGATCAAAAATTGAAGCTGAAAGTTAGATAGGTCTGGTAAATTATGTTAAATAATTTGAAATATCTATTTTTCTTTTCCGCAGCACTTATTTTTGATAATAATAACATTCAGGGCAACCCAAAGCATATTGGATGCATTGACCCTTGCTGTGACGTTGTGGATCTAGTGCACGGTAGGTATTTAAATTGTGATCATGTAATTTCATGTCTGTTAACCTGCAGACAGTATGAGTATTTCTTAGTCGATAAAGGTAATATCATGATTTTAGCCCTGCTGTGTATCTTCATACTCTTGTACGAAATAGTAGTTCTGAGTGGGGAGGTGGGCAGCTCAATAAGATCACCACTAATTAGATTGAGGGGAGGGAGACAGAGAAGTGAGAAGGATGACCTACATCTGCAGCGACAGGAGAGCCAAGTCCCACTGCTCTGTGTGTGTGTGTGTGTGTGTGTGTGTGTGTGTGTGTCCCCAGTCGCCTCTGTGCTCCAGAAGCCAAAGAGTAGGTACTTGATGCACTTGGTGCCGCCCTTCACCGGCATAGTGGCAAGCTGGGCGAGGTGGAGGCTGAGCAGCAAAGGGAATAAACTTGGCCAAGGCATTGTCCTGGCTGTTGCTGGGTGCTGCTCCGGTGGGTCCTTGTGCAATTTGCCGGCATTTCTGTGCCAAGCTCTGCCCAGCGAGCTTGGCCTTTTGCTTGTTTCTTTGCCTGCCTCCCTTCCCAAGCCCCACCCAGGCCTGAAGGCAGCTCCCTTCCTCCACCCTGCCAAGGCCCCTTCGCTGGTTCGGCAACTTCTACAACTAGGAGCCGGTGTCCCTTTCCCTCCCCTCCTGCTCAGCTGCAGCCAGTCCAGCCCATCTTGCTGGAGCTCATCAGGCAAGGGAGCAAGTGTCTCTTGCTGGCCCTGAGCGCGAGTGTGCCACGCTGTGGTTGGGGGGAGGGCGAGTACGGCACAACCAAGTAAAAAAAGGATCAAGGTGGGGGTAGAGGGCAGGAGGGCCAGGGCAGATTTGAGGTGGGGCATGAGCCCCAAGGAGCTCCACCATGGCTACAGGCCTCGTTCTGATGTACTCATTAAAATAAGCTGTGCACTTATGAGCCAGTGTGTTTCAAAGAGTATAAGAGCTGAAAGTCTCTCAGCAGCAAGACTATTCTGTCCTCACATTGAATACTGGCTTGGAAGTAATCCAATGTCTTGATAATGTGAAATTCTAAATGAGAGTTTATTTAAAACATTTTCCCTTTTAAATTGAATTTCAGATGCTTTCCAGAGTGCCCAAATGCTTTGTGACCAGTATTATTTTGCTTCTCCAGACCTGAAGCTTACTCAAGTGAATGGTGAGATTTTTTCATCCCCTTTTCCATCTCAACTATATTAGGCTAGCCATATGGTCCTTGCTCTTACTAGGGTGCATTTCTGTATGCATCACATTGAACGACAAACTTGTAACTTTTTGCCCTGAAGATAATGCTAAATTTTTGTACTAGTATGCATTCATCTATGCAGCACTTAATAAGATGTGATATACTAGCAAAAAAGATTATCTTGACACATGATTGTAAAATAGCTGACTTAATCATTTGTTTTTATATAAAAAGCAGTTAGAACAGACAAACTGCAATGAATTTGGTCTCTTTGTTGAAGAGAGTGCTATGAATGCTGTGTGGACTGCATAATGTTGTGACTTAACAGTCACGGCTCTCCAAAAACTGCTATGGATGCACTAATAGTGAAATCATTTGCACTTGGATAATAAAACCAGAGGACTGATTGTTTGCCTGTGTTTTTTCTGCAGGAAAAACAGCTGGGCAGCCTATTCACATAGTATATGTTCCTTCCCATCTCTTCCACATGCTGTTTGAACTCTTCAAGGTTTGTATTTGTGGCTGTGAAGAAATCATCTTCAGTACCTTGGTTTTAATCATGCACTTGTTTGGGAGTTCAATTGAAGGGGGCTCTAGTGACTTTTCTGTTCATTGAAACTACAGTCCTCCTGATAATAGCAAACTAGGATTAAAAGGAAACAAAAAGGGAAGCTCACAGGCAATAGACAGTGAAGTGTAACATAATGGCAATTAAGGATAGAGTGAAATAACGCTGAACTGCTAAGAACTTCTGTCTTAGTTGGAGGAACATCAGTTTAATGACATTTGGGGGTCCAATCTGTCTTTGAAATCCAAAACACAAAAATTAAATGTCTGAACTGTGTATAAGTTGCATTAAGTCTTCCAATTCTTTGCTTTTCATAGAATGCAATGAGGGCAACAGTTGAACATCAAGAAAACAAACCTTCTCTTGATCCAATTGAGGTGACCATTGTCCTTGGGAAAGAAGACCTGTCAATTAAGGTAACTGGCTTTTCTTGCCAGTACTGTAGTAGGCTGGGAATATGATTTAACAGTTTTAACAGTTTCACTATTAATATACAGGAGTCTTGTAGCACCTTAGATTCCTGTGTATTGTGGCCAATGCTCCCTCTAAGCTGTGGAGTCCTGTGAGCAAAAATCCTACTTTCTGAGCTACTGGCATTAAAGTTGTGAGCAGGTGATTTGGCTACTGCATAAATTAGTTTGCTCTGGAGCAATGTTCCCTCTAAGCAATGGAGTCTTATGAGCAAAATTTCTACTTTGTGAGCGACTGGCATTAAAGTTGTGAGTCAGTGATTTGGCTTCTGCATAAATTAGTTTGCTCTGGAGTCGTCCTTCCTGAGCTAAGACAAAAATGTGTGGAGACTAAAAAGCTGTGAGCTAGCTCACACTAACTCAGCTTAGAGGGAACACTGCTCTGGAGCCATCTGTCCTGAGTTAAGACAAAAATGTGTGAGCCGGAGGCTAAAAAACTGTGAGCTAGCTCACACCAACTCAGCTTAGAGGGAACACTGATTGTGGCCACAACAGAATAGTATAGTTATTCCTCTAGAACTGTCACTAATAAAGTGTCCTTGCCTTAAACTGGATTGCTGGGATAATAGGGTTATGGATTGCAGCCAATTATGAATAGTAGAAAAGCCTTTTGGAGATTATGGCTGTTTACAGCTGCAAATTGTTCTGCACAAAACATGCCTTCAGTCAACGAATTTTGTACAACAGGAGCTTTTGGCAGTAAATACAGATTTATATTTCTAGTTGCTGTTAATAGCTGATTTTGTTCTTAAATAGATATCTGATAGAGGTGGTGGTGTTCCAGTGAGAAAAATAGAAAGCCTCTTCAGCTACACATATTCTACAGCTCCGAAGCCTGTGATGGACAGCAACAATTCCACTCCTTTGGTAAGATACCAAAGATCTTTCTCCTGCTGTGTAAAGCTGCCTACTTTACACCTTATCCAATATTTTCCCATCAAGCAGAGTAAGCCTGTGTTTGGGCTGCATCTCTTCAAGCTGCTGGATGTGCTTCATACAACTCCTTCATATCAAAAATAAAACCCCAACTCTCCCTGCAGAGGGAGAGGTGTATGCTAGGCAGAAGTCTAGCCTAGAACCAGTTCTTCTTACCATCTAATTTTATGTGTGTGAAGGAACTATGTACAGAAGAATGGTCAGTCATTAACTACTGCCTTCCCTCTAAAAGGCCCAGGCACATATTTCTCACTTTGAGAACTAGACCAGCAAAGAACAGGCAAAAATGTCACCAGCTCCTTGTGCTTTTTCCACACTTGCTGCTGAGCAGTGGTAATGAGGAGAGATAGATAGGTAGGAGCAGCCTAAAACTCAGTCTATAGAGTATTATAGCTCATTCTAGAATGGTTTTATTCATTACTAGGAAAAAGGCCCGTTGTGGAAATAAATACAACGGCCTCTAGAAAGAGGCTCGAGGTCTCAATGTCAATTTGCTGTGGTGACCTCAGCAGGGTATAATGACACTGAGTCCACCATTTTATCCAGAGGAACTGATCTCTGCTACCTAAAGGAACAGTTGTAATTTTGAGTGATCTCCAGTCCTTACCTGGAGATTGGCAACGACAGTTCCCCAGAAGGGAATGGTTGGTTTGGAGGGTGGAGTCTATGGCTTTGTACCTCTCCGAGGTCCCACGCCTCCTGAAACCTCACCATCTCCAGGTTCCATCCCTTACATCTCCAGGAATTTCCCACCTGGAGTTGGCAACCCTATCTCCTGCCAAGCCAATCATCAACCTACCTTTATTTCCCCCTCACTCTTCAGCTTTCCACCCCCCACACACCTGCAGCCTCTCCCGTGCTCTGAAGCCCTGACTGCTACGTCACATTGGCTGTCATACGGGGGCCACCTCAGCAGCATATAAGGATACAGAGCCCACCATTTTCTCCAGGGGAATTGATCTCTGCCATCTGGAAAGCAGTTGTAATTCTGAGTGATCTCCAGCCCTCACCTGGAGATTGGACACACTTTACCTCAGAACAGCAAAACTGTTTAGAATGTTAGAGGCAAAAGCCAATCAAGTCGCATATGCAAACGACCTCTGTGTTCTGACTGGCTATGGGGGGGAGAGGATTAGCAAAATGTTTAGAATGTTGGAGGCAGGACTCAGGCAAAGCAGCCAGTGGATAGGGAGACCCTCTGAATGACAGATCAGAGAGCAAACTGATTTTGGAGTGTGTGGAATGTTCTAGAGAAGTGCCACCACCATTCGGCTTTTATAAGGGAGATAGCAGTTGAAGGAAAGGGAAAGGCAACTGTAATAATACAATGTTGAAATTATGAATAGGTAATCTTTACTATTCTAATCTTTGTCCTTTGGATTCCAGCATTAGAAAAGAACAAGAGTCCAGTAGCACCTTAAAGTGGCAGGGTATAAGTTTTCTTGAGTCACTGCTCACTTCTTCAGATACAGCTAGAATCTGACATTGTAGCTGTATCTGAAGAAGTGAGCAGTGACTCAAAAGCTCATACGCTGCCACAAATTTTGTTAGTCTTTAAGGTGCTACTGGACTCTTGCTCTTTTCTACTACTACAGACACTTTTCTACTGCTACAGACAGACTAACACGGCTACCCATCTTGATCTATCTCTTTAGACTCTGTAATAGTAAAATAGCTGACTGTATTAAACACAATCCAGAATGAAGAAAACTCTTGTTCCAGTTAGTAAGAGATCTCATTTTCTTCCTAGGCTGGCTTTGGTTATGGCCTCCCAATTTCTCGGCTGTATGCTAAATACTTTCAAGGAGACCTCAATTTGTGTTCCATCTCTGGTTATGGAACAGATGCTCTGATCTACTTAAAGGTAAATAGTTACATGTTCTACTCCACCCCAATATGTTTTTTGTCTGCTCCTTTGAATTCAGCTTGGTTTAACAGCAACGTTAGCATTATGTTCCAAATATTAATGATCATAAATTATTATCCAGTGCTGTGTGAGAGAACAAATTCCCTCTTCACAAATGTGGCTACTTTCAAATAAAAAATGGTTAAGCCTATTTTCCGTGGCTTACCCCTTCGCTTGTTGTAGAAAATAAGCTCCATTCCAGTATTATCAGCTTATTACACTAGTATTAATATGATTAGAAGTATTGGATGTTGCTGCATCATTTTATGACAAGGCTGTCTTGCTTTTTCAAATCGTTGCAGTCAAGGTAATTGCTGATACCTGGATTCAAATGAAGGTTGTTCAGTTATTCTTGAATTAGACAATATCTAACTGAATTATTTTCCTGTTCCTTTCTAGGCCCTTTCCACAGAGTCTGTAGAGAAACTTCCTGTCTTCAACAAATCTGCTTGTAAACATTATCAAATTGCTATAGAAGCAGATGACTGGTGTGTTCCAAGTAAAGAGCCAAAAAACTTGTCAAGACAGAGTGCAGCTGCATGAGATCAGCATGTGCCTAGGACATGCTCAAGAAGAAGCACAAAATATGAAAGGGGGATCAAGCTGATGTTGCAGTCCAGGACAAATCAAACCATCCTTTGGACCACTCCTGTCCTACACCAGGATTTCCCAGAGACAAGAAATTACCGTGCGGAGCAGGAGATGTCAACATGTGCACTGTAGGCAATGTGTGTACTGTATGGATAATGGTGACCGATGTGCCAGGAAAAGCAAAAGGCATAGGAAGCTGTGTGCATAGTTCCATAACACTTTGGAAATTAACACGTGGAAGCAAATATAAATTAACACTCCGAAGTATACCTTTGAGTTAGGACTTGATACGTTCAAAAACTATGTATAAATGTTGAACTCCAGCACATAGTATTAACTTTTTCCTTGGTCTTTGTGGCTACTACCAAATATTGCTACCAGATTGTGGCTGGAGGGTGGGGTGCGCACACATACTTCAGTGTACTACTTGACATGGTCACGAGTTGAAGGGCTGTGACAACATGCCATGTTGGCTTCCCTTCAGTAGTTTTTGTTTGATGAGAAATGGAGACCATAACACAGTGCCATTTTTTTCATCCCATAAGCCACATGGTAAACGTTACTTGAATTTTTAACTCCTAGAATAACTGTACTTGTATATAGCATCTTTTTATTATTTTTCAAAGTGATGAGCTTTTATTGCATAAAATGCTTATAAAAAAACATCAAGGAAGATAAATGGATCTATTGTGAAGTTTAATGTAAAGTGCAAAGCAATAAGGAGGTTAAAAAAAATCGAAATGAATTTAAATGCAGGCCATTTTAATTTGATCTTAAAATTGGCTTCCCCAAAGGAAACCTGTGAAGAAAATAAAGTGGGAAGTGCAGGACTGTATGTAAGGAGGCAGGTTACTTCTCGTGATGGTACTGTGTCAAATATGCAGGCAACAATCAGATTGGAAAGTCTTTGCTTCAGTAGAGAATGGGACATTTTCATATGTTAATTAGGAGCTGCCGGTTTTGAATGCAAAACAATTCAATTTACAAAAATGTGACTTCGGACTAATTTGTAAATGTGAGTATCACAGGGATGTGATAATAAGCAGGTCTTGGAGGATATTGTACCTGAATTAGAAAGAAAATCTGTAAATGGAAAATGAGAGGAAATGATGCATTTGATTGCAGAATCAAGATGGCAGAGTGCTTCCTCTGTGAAAAGTGATTATTGGGAGAATATTCCATTCCAAATAATTAGAACCTCCATAAAGAGGGAGTTTGGTAAGGGCCCAGCTGGTGACAATTTAGGTCAGCCTTTCTTTTTGAAAAAGGCAATAATATGCTGAAGAGCTAATCCTAGCTTACTTTGAAAAGATTGCTAACTTGTCTGTGAAGATTAGTGTCCGTGCTCGGTTATAGCAACTTTATTGCTGACGTTCACGCTTTCTGTGAACATTAAGTTCAGTCAGATAGGTAATCCCAGGCATGTGAGGCTATTGTGTGCTGTTGGTACAGTGTATCTACAAAAGGCTTAGCGGCTAACGTTGCTGGAGTATTGTATGTTTTATTCCCATGATAAACTTAGTTCAGATATGGGCACTCCACTAAGATTTTTGTTTTGTAAAGTGGCTATTTTGTGTAAATGATTTTAAAGCTGGTGTGCTAATTGCAGTTACATTCTTGAGTTGCCACCTACACAGCAGAGTTAATATTGAGGTCTTAATGCAGTGCGTGAACTATTAAAATAAGATGTTTGTCATTCAAATCATCTTTGTAGAGTCAGGCTTTTTTCCATCCAGTGTTACTAGAATGTGTTTTTGGTAACTGATAGATTGTGTGCACTTTGACTTTTTATAGCACATGAAATCTGTAAAAAGTTGTTTTGATAATATTAAAATAGCCTAACATATGCTGTCAATCTATGCACTGTTTCTGAGAAGTAATCACAGTTGCCATTGTCTTCATATATCTTTGTCACAAACAGTTAACATTTACACGTAAAAGGAATATTGGAATCCCTTTGGAAGCATACTTGCTGAATTATAGGGCTGGGACTGACACACTGCATATTATGCACATCTTCTGAGCAAAACAAGCTTTTGGTCTGCTTTTGCACTGTTCGCACAATGTCAAAGTACAGAGTGTAACAAAACCAAAAATGGATTTAGACAATTGCCTTGTTTCTGCTACTGTGTGCCTTTAATTTCAGGTATACTTGAAATGTACTGTAAGGTTTTTAAATTAAACTCTTTTAAATAACGCTGCTTGACTCATTTGATAATTTTAAAATCCTCTTAAGTGTGGATCTGTTTGGTTTTGTATCTGCATAACCTGTGCCCAGTGTTCCATTTTTGGGCAAACCATTATTACTAACTGTTGCTGACATTCTAAGATGTTGTGCTGTACTCTGTTGAAACCACCACTCTAATATTTACTTAATATTAAATGGTGTCTTGCAGAATACAAAAGTAATACAGCCATGCCTTAGAACTAAGATAACATTGCCCTTTGCTGTGGTTTTGGTACAGGATTTGGTACAGGAGATATATGTGTGTGAATGTGAAGCTTAATGTTTTTTCTGTAGTGTAGTGTAAGCTTTTTATAGGGAACACCTGCTGTTTCACAGGCAAAGAATTTGGGGAATAGCAAAATAAGTTGTAACAAAGGATTTGAAAATAGATGTTGACAAATACAGAAGTTGTACTCTGGGGCATAAGATGTTTAAAATATTTTCCCTTGACAGATTTTCTAATATTCCTCAACAAACCATATTAAAATAACAGATTTTTAAAGTAATTAAGGCGGGGAGGTGGGGTACACATGCCTTGAAAAGAATTTCTCTGACATACTCTATTGGAGTCACAGCCTTTTCTCTGTTCTGTAATACAACGAAAGTTTTTATCCTTTGCCCTGCAGTTGTGCTTTCATTATCATTCAAGAGCAGGGGTCATTTTGTAGAAAAAGAGCTGCAGGAGCTCATTAGCATAACTTATTAGCATATGCCACACACCCTGACATCACCGGAAGTGTGCACCAGCCCCTCTGACAGGCAGAAGTACCTGGGATCCATTCTTCCCCCCCCCTCTCTCTTCCCTTCGCCTCCAAGTCTGGTGAAGGAAAAGGGGAGGGGGAGGATCTCAGGCACTTCTGCCTGACAGAGGTGCTAGCATGCCCACAGCCAGCCTGGGTGAATTATAGAATCATAGACTCTTTGCAACCCTGTGCGACTGAACAACAACAAAAGACTCATAGAGTGGGAAGGGACCTCCAGGGTCATCTAGTCCAACCCCCTACACAATGCAGGAAATTCACCAATACCCCCCACACACCCCAGTGACCCCTGTTCCACGCCCAGAATATGATTAAAAAAAACCTCCAGGATCACTGGGGGCCAAA